GGATGAATTTTAATTTGTTTAATGATTTTTTTATTTTAAACATATATATTTTATGCCAGCAAATTTTGATGTCAAATGAAATAAAGGAAAAGTCGTACATTTGTATTTAAAGTTTCTTTCTATCTTTAATTATTAAACCTATAAGTGGATGTCATGATACAAAAAAAAAACTGTACCTACATTCCGCGACGTACTAATAACCCACCTTGTATATTAAATAAATTTATCGTCATCATCAAATATTAAAAAAATTATATTACAAGCTGTTTAAAATATTATTACGAATTTAGTTTATTTGGAAATATATTTTCTGCAGTATTTCAATACCAAAAAATGAAAATAGTAGGTAGCTAATTAACGAAATTATGATTAAATAACTACATAGATATTCGTTGATTCTTTAAAAACATTTTTATCAATATGTACCTACATCATACATTGAAGTAAATACAGTAACGCAAAAAATTGATAAAAAAGTGTACAAAAGAAATCCGTAAGTACGCCTGGCAACATTACCAAAATCTTGTTTATATGTTGCTAGGATACGCTTAGGTATACGGGCCGCTGTATTTGATTCTTCCTAAAATTCTGCTGGTGGTGTACTCTACCGGCAATTCGGAAATTTAAAACTGCTGGCCTATTCCAGTAGCGGTCTGTGGCAAAAACTCCCTATTAACGTGTTATTCCTAATGCACATGTTCGAACAGGATAGTCTCATACGCAGGTGAGATCTTGTTGATAAGTCATCGCTGTCGTCTTTAGCGTATTTTCTCTTCTTTTGTTTAATCTTGGCATTAGTCTAGTTCTACTAAGTATTTTTCTTGTTTTTCTTGGTGTTGTGTTGCGTCAGTGTGATTATCGAGTGTTTTTTTCTTCAAGTGATTTATTATAGACGTACCCTTAACCGATACCAAACATTTCTTGAATGATGCGAGGCTACTTCGCTTACATGAAATTATCTTTAATGCGCATGCATACATATACATTGATATAATTTTAATTTATTAATTACTATAAAAGTCAATATTGTTATATAAATTTAAATATATCAATTCTATAATTCTTTTAGTTTGTCACTTGGGGTTTGAAACTTCTTAAACATTTCTAATATTGCCAGAATATCGCGATATTTAAAGTCATGACAAAGAAGTCATTTTTTTGGCACTTATGTCCCAATAGTCGAAAATCGATCTAGTAGAAAATTGGGAAATACTTCATGACGATGTGCACTATGGGGTTGCCTATTATTTGGCGTATGTGACGTCACTACTAAAAAAGTCTATTGCGCCTTTAGACTAAAATATTCTATTGTGGCACTTACAATGCCTTATCAACATAAAATTATTTCTGTGTAATTATGTGCTTGTTTTTAATTAATACTGTTAAAAGCAACGAAAGCATTTTCTGCAGTAGTTAGATAAGAATTCATAAAACCTATTCAATTTTGCCTTAACTATAACATTGATCAGGAAGATGATAAACGAAAACGCTCTTATTACAAAATTCGTAAGGTATCATTCTGTGCATTTTCAATGTGATTTTTTTTAAAATAGAGGTGAAAAATAAAAGAAAGGCATTTAACTTCTAGAAATGAAGATGATTTTGGTACAAAATATCTACTTTCCTATTTATCTTATATACTTTAATATTCCAAAAATAACGAGGACAATTTCAAGACACGCCCCTGCCGCGGTATATTGTTACAGTAGTTCCGATAACAGAACTTTATTGGCTTATTGATTTCTTGGAATCCTATCACAACAAATATTATTCGGACTGTACGTCATTCAGGATGTTTAAAATAAGAACGACTTAAATTTTTAAGTAAAAAAAAAAATCACATTTCATTTTTTTAATAGATAACACAGGCACAAAAAATAAAAAATGGCTTTTCTGAAGACCGCGCTAGGCTATTGATGTGTATTTTGAAGGGCTGAATCCAAATCTATTTTTAGTTTTACTCCAGTTACCACAGGATTTGAAAAACTGGATAAAAATGGCCCAAAAATCCCAAAAAGTCGAAGCTTCAGCAATGTTCCGAAAAAATTAATTTGGACCAGATAAGGCCTTAATCTTATATTTATATTTTCGTTTGATGAACAGCAGTTAGTCCTCCTGGATTTGCGTAATCGAGTTATTTCAGAAAAATCGCTGGAAAGATACGAAAAATCGCTGGAAATCCACGTTGCACTGAATGAAGATATGTATTTGTTTGGGGCAGTCCAAGTCTTATTCCAATGTATTTTGACGCACTGAATTCGAATCTGACAACGGTTAAGGTTCCTGGCTACCCCTTCATAAGTATTTTGAAAGAAAGCCGAAAAGCCCCAAAAACTCCAAACTATTTTTAAAGTTTGTGACGTAATTTTTTGTCCTCAAACAACCTGCGCAACATGTTTCAAACTACTTCAGTTTCTCTTTCCAGTTGCACTATTTTTAAAGGATCTGTCAAATATTGCTCTATTACTCTATATCATTGTGATTTTCTGGGTTGACTGCTTCTCTCGGCTACTGTTTCTTTTTTAAGTTACTATTTCGATTTCGACCATAGTCAATATTAAGTGGTTTCTAACAATTTTTCTCAAATAACTGATTATGGAAAATCAACTAACTACATACTGCAATTAAAATACATAAGATTAACACTGCTAACGCCCATTAGTTGGCTTTTTCACGGTTTTCAAGATTTATAGCTATTTTTAGCGATTTACTCAAATCCTGTGAATGCCGAGAAAAAAATAATGACAGATTCGGATTCAACGTATCAAAATACACATCGATAGCCTCCAAGCGGAGGGGTCTCCAAGTCAGCCCATTTTTTAAAATTTGGTGTGCCTGTTTAATTAATATCATAAGGACTTTATTTTAAGAAAGTATTTCTCACTTATTGAAATTATACATACAGGGTGTTTCTAAAATAGGGTTCCAAACTTCTGCTGCGTTTATAACTCATTAAAATAAGCCAAAAAGTTCCTATTAACATGTGCCCTAAAACGCACCCTTAGGAAGTTATATGCCCTTAAAAGGGCTCAAACAAAACTGTTTTTTTTTTCAAATAAATTGCAGTTATGAAGGATCCGATCATTTAATAAATAATTTAGGACATAAACTAAGACTATTTAAATTTAGAGTTACACTTACTAATTAAAGAACTAATTACTACTGCAGACAATAGCTAAATGTGAAATAGAAAATAATGGGATTAAAATTAGTAATAATAAGTTAAATTACAAGAACTGCTCGAAGTGACCACCTTGCATTTCGATGCATAATCTAGCTCGACGCTTCAATGATTTGCGAACTCTTTGGAAAATTCTAGGTGTTTGCCTTATTTCCATGCACGCGGTTTCAATTTCCTCCCGTAGTTGCTGAATGGTCTCAATTGGAATTTTATAAACCTTTGCCTTAAGTTGACCCCACAAAAAATAGTCCAGGGGGTTAAGGTCAGGGGAACGTGGAGGCCAGGGAACAGGACCTCCTCGGCCTATCCATTTTTCTCCATACAACTCATTTAAGTGTTGTCTTACATTATGTAGGTAATGAGGTGGCGCCCCGTCCTGCATAAACCATATGCTTTGGCGTTCAATTAAAGGGACATCTTCCAAAAGTCCTGGCAAGTCGTTAACTAAAAAATTGTAATAATCCTCACCATTCAATCGATTAGGCAACACAAACGGTCCGATTAGCCGATCGCCTAAAATGCCTGCCCAAACGTTGACGGAAAACCGAATCTGATGTCTGGACTGAAATATGCTGTGTGGGTTTTCATCAGCCCATTCATGAGCGTTATGAAAATTGACATAACCATCTTTACTGAAGCTTGCCTCATCCGTAAACAAAATAAGAGATGCAAAATTCGGAATCCGCCTCGATTTTCGCAAAAACCATTGGCAGAACTGCCGACGTGGTTCGTAGTCATTCGGATTTAAAGCTTGAACACGCTGGATATGAAAAGGATGAAGTAGTTGTTCGCAAAGAATTTGCCAAACTACGGAAAAACTTATGTTATGCATACGTGCGACACTTCTTACACTAACCCTTGGATTGTCCTGCACAGCTCTCAATACATTTTCTTCCATCACCGGTGTTCTTACAAATCTGTCTCTGCCACGATCATTTACTCTTGGTTGGAACGAACCATTTTCTCTTAAACGTTGATGGATCCTCTGTAATACCTGTCGAGAAGGAAGTCTTCTATTCGGGTATGCTGCCGCATACAGACGCCGCGCTTCTGATGCATTTCCAGTCGCACGGCTGTACATAAAGTGCATATCTGCCATTTCCGTGTTTCAATATGACTCAATTTTATGAGTTGTATACTTAAATTTTTCACTCACCACTTTTACAAATTAAACACTGCAAAGCTCAATTGACAGTTTATCAATGATTTAAATTGTTAAGCGTTGTGGCAACGTTAGTCTTTTATTTGCCATGGTAAACAGATTTTTGTAATTTTTGGCCTAATAACTTAAAGAGTAGAGTAATTTTCAAACTCAATTTACTCGAAAACCATTGGAAATATCGATTTGGACAAAGATAATATTTTTTACGTAAAATTGTTAAGATTTTATAGAGAAAATTGTAAAAAAATTGAAATAAAAAAAAATTATGGGCCGAAAACCCCCTTCACCGACCTAAATGGGACACATATGATTTGCATGTCGAAAAATGGAGTAACCCATGTTATTTAACGTAAAAATTTATGTGAGACCCATAAATTTTTTTCTATTTATTTGCGACCGTTTTGTCAATAACAGAAAAAAACAGTTTTGTTTGAGCCCTTTTAAGGGCATATAACTTCCTAAGGGTACGTTTTAGGGCACATGTTAATAGGAACTTTTTGGCTTATTTTAATGAGTTATAAACGCAGCAGAAGTTTGGAACCCTATTTTAGAAACACCCTGTATATGAAAATAAAAAATAATACATTAAAATCTGTTTAAAAATGAGTAGGTACGTTAATTTAAATGAGTCAAAACCCAAAGAATTATCTACTTACATGTAGTTATGATGCAGTTGAATGATGTCAGCATGAGGAACATGACGGAGAAAAAGATAAAATTAAAATTGTTTATCATATTGGATGCATCTTGTCCTATACCCTGATATAAGATTCCTATAAATAATGCTATGCCTATATGCGTGCCTAACCTAGCATATGCTAAAGTTCGATCTCTAATCAGTATTAAAAACATTCTGGTAAGTAAAACACATAGCTGGTTGCAAAATGAAGTAGGGTATGATCCGTAACAACACTGATTTGACACTTCTTTATGTGTTCGTTTGTCGATTTTGGGAAACACTATAGGGGGTGCAGTGGTTGGCGTTATGCGACCGGCGCGCATCGCTTTACCTAAAGAAAAATAACAAATAATTACTAGTAGTAATAAACAAATAAATAAATAAAAAAACATAAGTGCAAAAAAACATTGTAATATCAAACTTTATATCACTGCAATCTCTTCAAGTATGATAAATATTTATTGACTGGTCTATTTAATAAAATCATAAGTTTGGTTTAAGAACATAAAATTTAATATTATAAAATACTTATAAATAGTATTTACTTCAACACCCTGTAAGTTATAAACTCTTAATAAGTGGACAGATTTATAAGGCTAATTTGCAACATTTTCATTGGTTTTATTTTCAGCTATGTTTTACGTATTCTGTGAATGTTTTAGAAATAGTTGAGGAGTTTCTTTATGTAAAAAAAATATTCTCGTTTTTTCGCAGGCCTCTTTGAAAGTGGGTGTGGAAATCATGCTTCCATGGCCTTTTCCAAAACCGGCTCAAATTAAAAATTTCATTCTTGCATGGAGGCAGTACTGTTCAAATACCACTTTTAAGACCTATTTCACCTGTTGCACAGTAAGGGAATAAAATAACACAACCCTTGTACATTTACTATTAGAATTTTTTCGCATTTAAAAATTTTGAAGAAAAAAAAATTTTTACCCTGATCTCTATACGAATTCCGACATAAATTTAAGTTTTCTTACAAAAAATACAATTTATAAGCCTGCAAATCAACCCTATGATGTTGTTGTTATTATCATGTAACAAAAATCCGGGACGCGTAGTAATTTATTTGTTAGTTCTGGGAACGGATGGGACAAAAAGTAAAATATTTCAGTCAACACTAATTTATCGGAAAGTTAGTGGTTTTCAAGTAGGCTTAACGTCGCCAAGACCGTCATTCGTGGAAGGCTTCACGAAATTTAGCAATATTTTTTGAACAAGTTCACTTAGAGTCGGGGCCATGTGTTGAGCAGGTATAAAGAGAAAAATTGATATTTTTAATAACGCGCGAAACCACGAGAAGAGCGTAGATGTTCCAAAGTAGAATTAAATCAAATTGTTAAATTGGTGGTAATTGTAAATGGAATAGATCAGGTAAGTGACATTTTAACAATACTACATCTACACAAAATTGGAGCTGGCTTTGAAAGCAAATTCGCCACAGACTTTAAAGGCTGTTTCAAATGGAGCTATCTAGGACTTCTTCACGAAATGGAAACACTGCTGGGGAAAGTGAGTGAATAGAGGCGAGGAATACTATGAAGGACAGGGGCCAATAATATATAAAATTAATAATAAAATTAAAAAAGCAAAGTTCGGTTATTTTCTGAACAGACCTCGTATGTAGATATTTTATAGCGACTTACTTATATGTTCAAGTGCTTCGAGTTGTATTGAATTTGTTTGCCTTTTTCTCCAATCTTGACAGAGCCCATTTTCTGATTTAATTGATAATACATCTGTGTAGTCACCATATTCTCCTGACGCTACTTCAAGAACTGGAATATAATAACAATATTAAAGTAATAACCACGATTCATACTTGGAAGGAATAAATAAGAATTTAGCAAAACATCTTACGGTAATCAGCTGGGTTATGATATGGCGGACATCTCAAATCTAATTCTTCCAAATATGGTATTAAACCTTTCACTGATCCTTGATATAAACATTTTCCATTAGCCAATACATACAAATGATCAAACATCTCAAAAATCATAGCACTGGGTTGATGTATTGAACAAATTATAGTTTGTCCTGTGGAAGCTAGTTGCTTTAGTAACATTATGCATTGTTTTGATGTTAAACTATCTAGCCCACTGAAATGACAAGCTCTGATTTATTTTTAAATAACATGGAATATAGAAAAAGTATTATTAGTTATGTAGTAGAGGTGTCTTATTGAGAATTGGTCTAAACATAATTATCTAAAATAAAAAATATTCCTAAATAATAGATACTAACGAAAAAAACTGATATATTGAAACCATTAAATAATTTTGCAAATTTTCAAAGAAAATTCTTCCTTTTCTTGTTTCTAATGCAGCTATACATAACTTTAGTCAAAGATTAACACGCAGTTAACCATGATAATATACCTGAATCATATAATCTTAAGAGACCCTTAACCTCCTTTTAAAAATGTAATCAATGGAACTGAAAACTGTCGGACTCTATACAGGGTACCTGACAGTTGTGTGTAAAAATTTTAACGTACAAAAAAGACAGAAGAATATTCACAAAGGCTGTATGATTTAACCTAATAGAAAGATTATCACTGGCATACTTCATGAAGAGAAACTAAGATACAGCAAATTTTGCTCAAATCGGTTAACCGGGTTCTTAATTAAGGAGAAAACAAGAAATAAGAACACCCTGTAACTTCTTTTGGGACATTTCTCGTTTAAGCAAGTTTGGTTAAATCGACACCATTTGGATTCTAGATTATACCCTTGAAGTATGCAATATTCGTGACACCCTGTATACTACCCTAACTTTTTAATTTTGAAGTTTAATTATATTTTTCCTTTCTTGTTATGAATTTTAGAAGCTTTACGTTTATTAACTGGACTGTATAATATCATAAAATGAAACTTAGCTAAATAAGTATGCCCTTTACCTTGTTGGTTCATCGAAGAACATAACCTGCGGATTTTTTAATAACTCTAGAGCTATAGACAGTCTTTTTTTCTGACCTCCAGAAAGAGCACCGATTCTTGATTTTCGATGCTCCCACAAACTTATAGATTCTAGGATCTCCTTTATCTGAAACCCACAAAATAAATACGTGAAAATTACATTGTATAACTAATTTTACTCTATTGCGTTTTTCCTTAGGAGTATAGGCGCAGTTCATTTTAAGGTTTGCTGCTAAAGTCATAGATTCTTGAACGGTGAGAAGAGGTTGAAGATTGTCGTCTTGCATTATGTAGCAAGATTTCTTCCTAAAAATTTTCTCATCGCGAACTTCGTCGTTTATTAATTTTTGGCCTGAAACTCCACTGTTTCTGCAAAAAAGTATTAAAAGCGTAAAGTATATGAATAAGAAAATTAAAATATCAATACAAAAAATTATAGTATTGTCTAATAGTTTTCTAATTAAATAATATGAAAGATTTAATAAGATTTGTGTTTATTAAATCTAAACATAAGCAATCTATTTTTTATTAACTATTATCATAAGAAACCGAATAAGCATATTCTCATAATTATGTTTATTATGTCAAGTTTATAAACAAAACAATAAATAATGTAGAAAAAAAAATTATTGTCAAGAATTCCCTGAATTAGACTCAGCATACCTCAAACAGATATGTAATATTCTGATAAAAATAAGTATACCTCGACATATTTTCCAAGACGCATATTTAAGATATCGGATAGTTTAGTCAAATTCGAGATTGGTGATACAAATTTTCATCATAAAATACGTATATGTTGTATACTACAAGTTCCATTATTACGTTTCGTTAATTGCGGGATATAATGTGAGTTGTAAACTCGAGATTTTTTTATGTAATTCATTCCTTCAGTTTTCAGGTTCATTAAATGATATAACATATACCTCTAACTCTAACACTAATTATCTATCGGTTCTAGATTTTGTCATAAATCAACAAACACCATAAAAAAGTTGTAAAATAGTCGAGGAAATGAAGCACTGAACCTCCGAAATCTGTACAGTAAGATGGATCGTGATGCGGTTTTTTGCATTCGATTTGTTAGAGTGCCCAGAAAGTTTGTGACCCTATGTGATCAATGAGAAATGAAAATTGCATCGGTGGATAAGAAAAATGCGTTATAAACCTAGCCAAAACTCGTTACCTCGGGGTTTTTGAGGTCGCTGAACACGAATATCACGACGGCAATGGTCTCCAAGGTACCTGGTGCCCAGGGTTTCCGGTCCACGTCATTTCCTGGAGTTTTGTGAAAATTCGTTATAAACTTAGCCGAAACCCATTACCTCGGGATTTTTGGGAAACATCAACACGAATATCACAACGGTAATGGTCTTCGAGGTACCGATGTCATCTTCATAAGCTTTATCGAATATCTAAATAAATTATCCGAAACATTTTTTTTTAATTTGACGCTTTTAATATAGTTGGGAGCATTGGTGAAATTTTAGGTAAGGATTGCGATCGCTGGCCGCTGCTTCCACGTTTTACTCTTACATATACACTAATATATACTCTTACACATACTAGTATATACGGATACGCTCTAAGTTATAGCGCACACGTGAAATAAGAAAAATTAAAATTGTAAAGATATCTAATTATAATATTTTTTTGAAAACAGGTATTTTTTTGTAATAAATAAATGTATTTTTATAATAAAAAATAATTTAAGAATAAAATAGTTGCCACAGAAACCAGTCATCCTGAGTATTAGGTACCTCGAGGATCGTCACCGTCGTGATATTCGTGTTGAGCGACCTCAACAACCTCCAGGTAACGTGTTTCGGCCAAGTTTATAACGAAATTCCACAAAACTCCAGAAGACGACCTGGAAACCGGCCAGCTTGGGCACTAGGTACCTCGGAGACCGTTGCCGTCGTGATATTCGTGTTCAACGACATCAAAACCTCGAGGTAACGAGTTTCGGCTAAGTTTATAAAGAATTTCCACAAAACTCCAGGGGACGACGTTGAAACCGGCCACCTTGGGCACTAGGCACCTCGGAGACCATTACCGTCGTGATATTCGTGTTCAGCGACATCAAAAACCCCGAGGTAACGAGTTTATAACGAATTTCCACAAAACTCCAGGAGACGACATGGAAACCGGCCATCCTGAGCACTAGGTACCTCGGAGAGCATTGCCGTGATATTCGTGTTAAGCGACCCCAAAAACCCCCGTGTAGCAAAATTGAACTCATTCCGTCAATATTTTCCAAAAATTTTTAATTTTTTTAACTCTTCGAAATGCAATTTTAAAAATGCATTTTTCTTATGCACCGATGCAATTTTCATTTCTCATTGATCACATAGGGCAGGGGTCGGCAAGTAATTTTAGGTGGGGTCCGGATACTTTTGAAAATTTTTAACGTCGTCCAAAAGAAAATTCATATTATTTTTTTATTTTAATTTGGACTCAAATTTAATCTGTTTACTAACCATTAAGAACTCACACACTCACAAAATTGTAAAATACTAGAAAAAATGATAAGATTGGCACTTAAACGTAAAAAACATTTTTTAAATAATTTATTTGAGTAATTTATACTTTCAAAAAATTTTTGGCGGTCCAGTATTTTACCTTCTGCGGTCCGGATCTAGACCGCGGTCCGCCAGTTGCCGACCCATGACATAGGGTCATAAACTTTCTGGACGCTCTAACGAATCGAATGCAAAAAACTGCATCACGATCCATCTTACTGCACAGATTTCGGAGGTAAGGCCGTTTTTAGTGCTTTATTTCCTCGACTAAAAGTAAAAAATTATTTTAAATTTTTCCGTTATTTTGTGTCCGCTATTTTGTTTCGAGGGTTCACTCCGATGGGCTAAGTTATCCGCTTGGCCCACCGGGTAGGGTAATTACCACTGAACTACTCAATAAAGCCACAGATTATATAACGGGTGTCCCAAAAGTAACGCAGGATTTGAATTGTGCGCCATTTTCATTCCAGAGTTGGCAGCATTGAGTGGGGTCACAAGTTGTAGTAAACACGTTGCGGTTAGACAAAAGAGAGCGCTATATACGATAAATGAGCTAGTGAAGATTGTGAAAATCCATTGCAAGTATAGAGAGTGTAACTGAGACTGTGCGCAAATTACGTGGAATTTTCGGTAGAAAGAACGTGAACAAACAGGTTCGGTTGCAAATAATAAAAAAACAGGCCGGCCTCGTACTGGCCGTTCAACCGAATATATTGCTATGGTGGGTGATGGTATGGCGGAACCATAACCTTAGTTGGTGGTCTCTCTAATTAAACATTTCAAAAAGTACAATGCAGCGGATTTTAACAAAAGATCTGCATCTGCATCCGTTCAAGATTCAGCTCACCCAGGAACTGAAACCGACGATCATTTAATGCACCTGACAATCGTTGATTGGATGTTGGAGAATCAAGTGCATCTTTAGCGATGAGGCGCATTTCCATCTTAGTGAGTATGTGAATAAGTAAAACTGACGAATGTGGGTCAGAGATAATCTTCGGGTAATTCAAGAACAACCGCTATATACCCAAAGAATCACAGTGTGGTGTGGATTTTACGCTGGCGGGGTGATTGGTCTGCTCATTTTTGAAAATGAGGTTGAAAACGCAGTGACTGTCAATGGAGAACGATATAGATACCGGCGGAGTCATAAATTTAATTTTAAATAAACTTTAAACAACAATTACGTAGAGCATTTAAAAAAAATCCCAAAAAAAGAAATAGGTAGGTATTCATAACAGAATATTATGTGTATAGTTAAGGTTTGGCGGAGAAATGTTATTCAACACGATAATACATATAATTATCATTATGTTTATAGTTTATATGTTAATTATAAATATAGCATTGTGTTTGCGAATAATTACTTTCCGAGAACTTTTTGGACCTAGGTAAATGGTTAATGATAGCGATTGGATTTGAACATACACTCTGAAATTTGGGACTCTTAAGTCACCCAACTGTATAAATAAATTGTGATAAAGTTACACATGTCACAAATAAAATAAAATAAAATAATTACTACATTTTCTCAAACTTTTCGTTTTCAGTATTTACAACTTTTTTTTTATTCGTCCGATGTGTATACCTAAGCATTTTGTATTAATGGTAACATTTTAAAATTAATTTTGTTCATGTGTAAAATATTGTATATCCTATACCAAAATTAATCCAAGATCCAAGAAAGTTGAGAAATTCCGTTTCGCGTAGTCCCAAAGGATTCAGAGAAAACCATGAACATTTGAATAGTTTTTCTTAGGATTAGGTACATGGATATAATTTAAAATATTATTGACTTCATTGCTTCAATCGTTTGACAGTATGTTCATGTTATATCCATTCTTATTCTATTCTTTTTGGTATTGACATTTCACATTCTAAGTTGATGTTACTCATTGATTGATCAAATATAAATCAGTTTTAGTTCTGGTTAATAATGAATGAAGAGAAGTGGGAGACAGATTTTGTACATTGTAGGTGAAGATGCATACGCTGGATTCCAAACCTGGTTCACTTTACACAAGAGCAAACGCAAAAGGTACACCCATGGGCGTAGGTAGGATTTTTGCTTGGAGTGGGCCTTGAGGAGGACAGCGGACACGTCCCTCCCCCCTCCCTTCTATTGCTACGCGCCTGAGTACACCCCTATGAATCACTGTATTTTTAATAAAGGGTGTAAAAAGGCACTACATGTTGTGGAGCCTTTAAGCACATGTCTTGTTCATATACACTAATGCAAAAAATTAAAGGGTCAAAAGAATTGCCGAAATTTTTCCGTGATTTTTGACAGACTATATTAAGGTGAAAAATCGGTCGTATCGGGAATAAAAAGTAGCCATTTTGAAGCTGTAAGATTCTAGTTTTTAGATCTTTCGGTCGAAATTTTTTAGGAGTTACGGCACTACAAAAAAATTTTGCAAATTTTCTTTTTTTTGTCCACGGACTTTTTTTTCAGCTAAATCATTACATGAACCAGATAGCTTGTTTATTCAGCTTCAATTTCCTTTTTTTTAAATTTCGATACGATCATTTTTCATCGAAGTATCGGACTTTTAATGGAAAAGGATCCTTTTGTCTTCAATCATCGATATCACGGCAATAAATGGTCGTAGAGAGAATTGAAGGGCAGTTTCGAAAACTGGAATAAATTTCCTGTAATATGTTGCCGCAACTTTTCGGAAACAAATTCTTTTTTCATCCTATACACGAATTTAAAAAAAAAAAAAACAGGAAAAAAGGGTAATTTATGGTTTTTTAGAAAATTGACGGCTAAATTACAAATATTCACGAAATGACTAATGTTAAGCATGACTTTTACGAAGAACCCTGTGAAGTTTCATCTCGATC